AAAAAAAAAAAAAAAAAAAAAAAAAAAAAAAAAAAAAAAAAAAAAAAAAAAAAAAAAACAGAACAAAAAAAAAAAAAAAAAAAAAAAAAAAAAGGACATCTAGCCATAACTGGGAGGGGGGCCTGAGGCTACAAAATACTAATCTAGACTTTTATCAACCTAGAAAAATCTATCCCAGGACACCAGTCTGAGCAGGGTGTTCAGCAGTAATATATGCCAGAGGGCTTGGAGCTAAGAGAAAGTCACAATGACAGAAGGGTCACTGGCAAGGAATTTCTTCTATTCTTTTTTTTCCTTCCACCGTTCCTTACATACTTCAATGTGGAAGAAGACGGTTGAAAAGGGACAAAAAAGAACTATAGAGAAGAAAACATGGAGAAGGTTAGAACTCAATAGTCCAGAACAATTTAAATGGAACAGGATCAGGCAGCAAACTCCCAATCGTAAGCTACTACAGTTTCAATCACTACCATTGTGAGAACTGACTCCCATATCCTTTTCTCTTCTATTCTTTGTTTGTTTCCACCTTCTGTTTCTCTCAATCATTCCTATCTTCCCCCACTTTGCCTAGTTGTAAAAAAAAAAATCATCAAGATCTGACCTACATCTCAATAGTGTCTACCTTTGCTGTATCCTTCTATTATGGAATCTCTACCTTCCAAAGGAAGGCTTTATCTTAATTTCAAAGCCATCTACCATAGTCAGAATTCTAAAGTGACTCACAGCCAGAAAAAGGATGGAAATCCTCTGACCTACTAAAAAAAAGAAAGAGCTAGAAAAAGGGCTATATTCACTTACCACGAACCTGCTTTTTTATTTCTTTGGCAGAATCCAGCCATGTCTGTAAAAAGAAGAAAAGGCATTCACACAGAGCTCCAAAATACATAAACCACAGAGTATCAGAAGCAGGATTACTGACCGTCTCCAATAGTGTCTCCAGGTCAACCTACGTTCCAATATTTTTTGTATTAGTTTCACATAGCACAGTAATTTTGAACAGAGAAACAGGGAGCCAGACAGTTGGGCTTGAATCCTAGCTCTACTATTTCCTAGGTGAGTGACTTTAAGCATCTTTGTACTTCAGTTTCCTCATCTATTAGAGGAAACAAAATGAGATATTAGCAGTAGGGCCTATCTCAGGGTTACTGTGAAGATTAAAACTTAATATATGGAAAGCTTTAGCAAACAGGAAATGCTAAATAAGCACTTGCTATTTTTATTATTCTGTAAAGACAAATAGAGATCTATAACCAGGATTATTGATCTATAACCTAGATCTTATTTTTCCCTCCAACTCTGACCTCCAGTCTCATTCAAGTTTTCTGTGTCAGCACAGCACCTGGTAGATGGTTCATGCTCAGTTAATGTTTACTGAATGAATAACTATTTTGTTTTTCCTGACTACCCTTGCCCACACTAATTTCTCCCTTCACCATTCTCCAACCCCACTTAAAATCTGTACACCACAAGGGCAAGGTTCCTCAACCCATAGTGGATCATGCAAAACTAATGGCACTCAAAAAGAGCCTCACCATTAACATCTTTCATAGACTCCTAGAGAAATGTTTAAAGACAGAAATTTCTAAATTGAATTGTCTAAAAGATTTTTACTGACATAAGACATATACAGAAATGTACATAAAACATATGTATAGATCAATAAATTATCAAAGTGAACATATAACATTACCAGCACCCCAGGAGCCCCTTTCATGCCTGCTCCCAATCCCCCCACCCCATTCCCCCTTCCAAAATGTTTAAAATTGAATTTTAGTCGTATTTAGAAAAGAAGAGTAAGGGGGGATTACTCCTCACCCTGTACCAACAAGGGCAAAGTTCAAGATGACCATCCCATTTGCCCTACCCAAGGAGTGGGCCTGAACACCACAATCTTACATTTGATTATACACTACATTAACCGTTATATAAAGATAGTCACCACAACAGATAACAAGCAAAGAGTGAGGACGAGTTTCCTTTTCTCTCCCCTGCCCCTACAATTAACACAGATGATTAAGAAATATATGTTTTTAAAAATACCACTTAATATAAAATTGTTCTAACGTATAAAAACTAAGTACATACTTGCTTAAGTCCCGTCAGAAAGGGCAGGGGGTAACCTGGGTGTTTCTCCTTCCTCTCTCATTAAGACTAAAGAACTTTAAGTTGTTATAGGTCCAAAGGCAAAAGAAGACTTTAAAAGCGCCAACTGATAAGTTTTGTGGAACCTCTGAGAACCTTGCAATCCAGAACTCTTAACAAAGACTACTTTCTACCACTGTGGAATGAACATTTCCCCTACAGAGTGAGGTGACTCCATATTTTCCCTATTTTTAAGAGAAATCTCCCAAAGTAGCCTGAAGCTGCCAAGTTTCTTACAGGGATTCCATGAGCCATTCTATGACTCTAAGGCTAGAATTCCCACCAATCTGACATAGAGAGGGCAAATCCAGATTTGTGCCAATCACATGGGACTCCAAGGTATAAGGTACCTTATAGAACAAAGTATTATTTCTTCAGTATCTAGACCTCCGAATCAAAGTCAAAATCAAAAAGTGTGTACAAGACAATAAAAAATCAGTGTGCATAACAATAGGTACTTTATGTTCAATTTAAATTATTCAATTCAGAGCATTTTATTTAGCCAACAAGTATTTAGGAATGCCTCCACGTGCTAGGCACCAAAGTTACAAAAAAGGATTTAAAAATAGTGCTTGTCCTCAAGGAGCTGTCAGTCTAAAGGAAGAGCTGAGTAGTGAACAATTTGTCTTTTCTTAGAGGCAGTTAGGAAATGTTTCTCAAAAGAATGCTTTGGGGGAAAAAAAGGTGAAAAAAAAAAAGAATGTTTGGGAGATCTAATTTAGGGTTGAAGAACAAATAAGAGTTCAGGCAAAAAAAGAAGTGGAAGTAATTAGAAAGGCACAGGGTATATAAAGAGAACATGATACATCTGAGTTGCTGAATGTAGTTCAGCAAAGCTGGAGCACAGAAGTGAAGAGGAGAGATGTAAAATGAAAAAGAACAGTAGGGGCCAGATCATAGAGGCCATAGTATTCCATGCTAAAAAACTTGGACTTCATCAAGTTACAGGCAAGGGAGAATCACTGAAGGATTTAAAATGAGAGTGACACAAATTTGAGGTAGACAGGGAGATCAAATAAGAAGCTGTTGTTGAGAATGATAACAGTCAGGATCTGTGACTGAGTGAATAGGGTGAGCTGATGATGAGAGGTGGTAAAGTATAGTAGTAAACAAAAATTCCTAAGTTGCTGGCTTGGGCAACTGGGTAGATGTGGTACTATTCACTGAAACAGAAAATGTAGGAAAAGGAATAAATTTTCATGAAGAAGAAAACAATAGCAAAAAACTGAAAACAACCCAAATGTCCATCAACAATAGAATAAATAAATTATGGTATATTTATATAGATACACGTTCAAGGTGTCTTTGGAAATCCAAGTAGAATATTTCAGTAGATAGCTGGATAAGCAGGTCTGGCACTCAGAAGAGTGATTTTAATCAGAGATATAAATTTGGGCACGTTCCCCATATAGGTGGCAAATGAAGCCATGAAAGTAGATAAAAATCATCCAGCGAGCATATAATAGATTTAAAAGAAAGAAGCAAAAGATAAACCTTGGGGAACATTTACAGTTAAGGGATGAAGAGAGGATAAAGAGCTGAGAAGTAAACTGAGAAGAAGTGACCAAGTGATAGGAGGAAAACAGGAGAGACTGTTATCACAGAATCCAAAGGAATAGAACATTTCAAGGATGGATAGGCAAGCTCATCAATGCTGCAAAATGGACAAGGAACATGAAGATGAAAAACTGTCAGACTTATCTTGGCAAGGGCAGTTCAGCAGAGTGGTAAGAGCAGAAATCAAAATGCAGTGAGTTATACCAAGTGCTGGTGAGAATGTGGCACAGCTGCAACCCTTAGTGCTGGTGGGAGTGTGAACTGGTAGCACCACTTTGGAAAACTGATAGTATCTACTAAAGCTGAACATATATGTGTCATCCACAACCCAGCAATTCCACTTCTGAGAATCCAACAGAAATGAATATGACAAGATATGCACTAAAAGACATGTATGAGAACGTTCCCAGGAGCAGCATTCATAAAAGCCGCAAACTGTAAACAAGCCAAATGTCCATCAACAGTAGAATGCATAAATAAAGTGTGGTATAGTCAAACAATGAACTATTACACAGCAGCAAGAATGGATGAACTACTGCTACTCGCCACAACATGGATGAAACTCAAAAACATGATATTAAACAAAACAAAAGAAGCCAGACCTAAGAGCACATATTGTATGGTTTCACTTACATAAAGTTTAAAAACACGCAAAACTAATTGATGGTGATAGATGTTAGGAAGACATCTGTTACTTTTGACAGGGCCTGAGGTAGGAGTACTGATTGTTAGGGGCTGGCGGTAGTGACTGGAAGGGGAAACAAAGAGGGATTCTGGAATCCTCCAGAAAAAAATCCTTGATTCATTCATAAATAACTTATTCCAAGCAGGAATAAAATCTAGGAAGCAACTACTGGGTTGGCCAAAAGGTTCATTTTGTTTTTTCCGTTAAGATGGCTCTAGTAGCACTTAGCTGTCTTCAACTTCATTGAAACAATTTTGTTAGATTATATGTGACAGCTGTCATATCAACATGCATTTAAAAAGACATCAAAATTGGTGAATTTTTGTGTGACATTTTAATATTGAAAATGGAAGAAAAAAAGCAACATTTTCGGCATATTATGCTTTATTATTTCAAGAAAGGTAAAAATGCAACTGGAACGCAAAAAAAGATTTGTACAGTGTATGGAGAAGGTGCTGTGACTGACCGAATGTATCAAAAGTAGTTTGCAAAGTTTCATGCTAGAGATTTGTAGCTGGACGATGCTCCATGGTCTGGTAGACCAGTTGAAGTTGATAGCGATCAAATCGAGACATTAACCGAGAACAATCAACGTTATACCACGAGGGAGACAGTTAACATACTCAAAAAATATTCAAATCAAGCACTGAAAATCATTTGCACCAACATGGTTATGTTAATCACTTTGATGTTTGGGTTCCACATAAGTTAAGCAAAAAAAACCCTCATGACCGTATTTCCACATGCAATTCTCTACTTAAATGTAATGAAAACGTTCTGATTTTAAAACAAATTGTGATGGGCGATGAAAAGTGGACACTGTACAATAATATGGAACGGAAGAGATCGTGGAGCAAGTGAAATGAACCACCAACAACCACACCAAAGGCCGGTCTTCACCCAAAGAAGGGGATGTTGTATATATGGGGGGATTGGAAGGGAGTCCTCTATTATGAGCTCCTTCCGGAAAACCAAACAATTAATTCCAACAAGTCCTGCTCCCAATTAGACCAACTGAAAGCAGCACTCGACAAAAAGCATCCAGAATTAGTCAAAAGAAAATGCATAATCTTCCATCAGGATAATGCAAGACAACATGTTTCTTTGATGACCAGGCAAAAACTGTTACAGCTTGGCTGGGAAGTTCTGATTCCCCCACCATATTCACCAGACATTGCACCTGCAGATTTCCATTTATTTAGGTCTTTACAAAATTCTCTTAGTGGAAAAAATTTCAATTCCCTGGAAGACTATAAAAGGCACCTGGAACAGTTCTTTGTTCAAAAAGATAAAAAGTTTTGGGGGACTTCCCTGGTGGTGCAGTGGTTAAGAATCCGCCTGCCAATGCAGGGGACAGGGGTTCGAGCCCTGGTCCAGGAAGATCCCATATGCTGTGGAGCAGCTAAGCCCGTGAGCCACAACTACTGCGCCTGTGCTCTAGAGCCTGCAAGCTGCAACTACTGAGCCCACGTGCTGCAACTACTGAAGCCTGCATGCCTAGAGCCTGTGCTCTGCAACAAGAGAAGCCACCACAATGAGAGGCCTGCACACCACAACAAAGAGTAGCCACCACTCTCAGCAACTAGAGAAAACCTGCGTGCAGCAGCGAAGACCCAATGCAGCCAAAAAATTAAATAAATGAATAAATAATATTTTTAAAAAGATGGATCACTGTGAATCTCAGAACACTAAAGAAAGGTTGAAAGAAAGAGAAAAAGAAGAGAAGGAGGGAGGGAAGGAGGGAGGGAGGGAGGAAGGGAAGGAAGGAGGGTAAAAGATTCTACTAGCCTAATTCTACAAAGGGCAAGAGAGAGGGGAGATCATACAAAGCATCACAAATCAGAATGGCTTTGACCTTCTCAATAGCCAACATTAAAAGCTAGAAGACAATGGAGCAATGTCTTCAACATTATGAAGGCAAATCATTTCAAGACTAAAATTCTATACCCAACCAAACTATCAACCAAATACGACAGTACAATAAACACATTTTCAGACATGTAATGTCTCAAAAAGTTTACATCCCATATGTAATTTCTCAGAAGGAGTGCTCTATCAAATACCAGGAAATGCTAAGATAAAGGGGAAACAAGAAAAACATCACAGGAGAGAAGTACAACAAATCCCCAGGATAATGGTGATGGGAAATACCTGGGTCAACTATATACAAGACAGAGAGAGCAACTCATCCAGACTGGAGAAGTATGACTCAAAGAGATAGCATATTGAAGAAGGACTGTCACCATCACAACGGCTTTTGCTACTGTATTGTCCCTTTAGCCTGACAATGCTAAGGAAGAACTCATTTTTGCACAGGATTTACTTGGACCATGTGCAAATGAAGTTCCTGCTTTCCCTTCTATGTTCTACTTCTTGAATCAGCTAAAGACCTTCATTTTAACCCAAAGGAAAACTCTGCTTTGACCTATTTCCGAGAGCTGGAAGTTAGCCATGATGAATTTAGAAGCAGAAAATATAGAACAGCCCATTACCCCAACCATATCCTGTAAGAACCTGGCCCATCAGACCTGCCAGATGCCCCAAATATGATAAGCCCTATGTTTCCCAGGATTCACTTGTCCACTGACTTCCCCAGAAGGGGTTCTTATAAACAATCAGAGAAGTTGAAACTAGATTATGATTCAGAGACATCAACTTTTTTTCCCAGAAATATTTTATCTAAGGGGGACAATAAAGCCCTTTTTTACACAGCCAGATTTGTTGTTTGCTGTACAATCAAATTCAGCTTTTATATTGGGCACTTTTAACATCACTTTATATAGAAATATATCAATGAATATAAATAAAGCAATTTAATATTTTCTCATTAAAAAATAAATAGGATAGTGAAAACTACTATAAGGAAATAAAACTTGCTGATAGGATAGAGTATGGATGACACCAACAATAGCAAAAAGTTTTCAAAGCAACTGGAAGGTTTTTACCAATGTGAGCACTGGAAGCTCAACTGCAAGATGAAAGAATTTCCTCTGCTGAATGCCTTTAGATGAGCCAGCTCCCAGCAATTTAAGTATACTTGGTTCATAGAAAAATTATAACAGTTACATTAAATAAGTAGGTACTGGTACTCAGTGACTTCATTCATATGCCAAATTCAAGTATTCTCAAATATTCTAACATAAACCTGAGTGGGGTACACACACACAATATAAAAACGTTCGATTTTATCTCACTGAGCTTGTATAACATAAAATACTTTTCAGGGCTTCCCTGGTGGCGCAGTCATTGAGAGTCCGCCTGCCGATGCAGGGGACACGGGTTTGTGCCCCGGTCCAGGGAGATCCCACATGCCGCGGAGCGGCTGGGCCCGTGAGCCATGGCCGCTGAGCCTGCGCGTCCAGAGCCTGTGCTCTGCAACAGTAGAGGCCACAACAGTGAGAGGCCCGCGTACCGCAAAAAAAAAAAAAAAAAAAAAAAAACTTTTCAGAGTATTTTCCTCAATTCATGGGAGAACTTTCTAACTCACAGCTGCAGAAAGTTTTTCACTGTAGTATTAGAGGTGTTGTTTTGTTTTTTAATTACCTTTAATCTTTCCTTACTACGTACACTGTATCTTGGAGAGGCAGGAATAAATACATTCTTAACAACAGTAAAAGAATTAAAACAATTTTGGGGGGTCAGTTTCTTATATTACAAGCAGTCTTCTCACCTTAGAGGTTGCATTATCCCAAATGGCTAGACTAAAGTAGTCTTCTTCCAAAAGATTGAGGTGTTCACATACTCGTTTAAGTAAGTCTTGTCCCTTAGCATGTTTCTGCAAAGATACACATACTTTAGTTGAGGTTTCCTCTTATTCCTGCATTTATCACGAAATAACGTAAAATGTCACTTTCCAATTTCCTCTTTTATCCTTGGTTACTAACACTTTCAGATGGCTGCACAGTGCAAGTAGAACAAAGTAAGTAACAAAAATCCTGTTTCTTAATTTGTCAGTTTAAATATGCAACACATTTATAGTTGCTTGGAAATGCTGCTACAATTCAAAGCAAAATTCCATCAAGCATCCCCCACCTCCATCCTAAACATTACATTCTTTATTTTTGGTGTATTTCCTGAAGCCTGCTATGGGTCGCTGTCAGCATGAGTACCTGACTTAACTGAATCAGCTGTCGACACTGACAATTAACAGTGGCTATGGAAGTCATTAGACTCTCTATCATTCCCAGACCAAATGTCCCAAGACAATGAGCTATGTCTCAACTCCCTGCAATCTCTTTCAGAAAAATGCATAAAGTATAAGATTTTAGATACCCTCCAGATATTACCCATTGCAGTGGCTCTTACAGTTGTGCTACAAATCATTTCTTAATGTTTCTCTACCCAGAAAATCAAACCATTACCAATTTGGGGTACTTGTATTCCTGTTTATAGAGAGGAAATGCTATAACTTAGGGACTGAGATTTAGAGTGAAAGTGTCCCTGCTTTATCATTTACTAGCTAAACAACCTGAGTCAATTTCTGACCATTAGCTTTCTCATCTGTAAAGTGATAAGAATATGTATACCTGTCCTACCTAACTACTGGAATTGTTGAAAAAAATTAAACATGCTGGACTTCCCTGGTGGCACAGTGGTTAAGAATCCACCTGCCAATGCAGGGGACACGGGTTTGAGCCCCGGTCCAGGAAGATCCCACATGCCGTGGAGCAACTACGCCCGCGAGCCACAACTACCGAGCCTGCACCCCACAACTACTGAAGCCTGCGCACCTAGAGCCCGTGCTCCGCAACAAGAGAAGGCGCGGCAATGAGAAGCCTGAGCACTGCAACGAAAATAGCCCCCGCTCGCTGCAACTAGAGAAAGCCCGCGCGCAGCAATGAAGACCCAGTGCAGCCAAAAATAAATAAATAAATTTATTTTTTTAAATAATAATAATTAAAACTTTTTTAAATAATAAAAAAATTAAACTTGCTAATGTCTTCTGAGAAATACATTTTTTAAAACTTCCAAAAAATTAGAAATCATTTTTTGGCACATATACATGACATGTCCTTCTCTCAATGAGCTGAGCTATTTTTAATGACTATTAGTAATTCACATAGATGTTAATTCATTTTTAGACTTATCCCATCTATATTATATCATTTTCTCCCTTCTATGTTTTCACTCTATATGACAGAGGTGATTAGGGAATTCTTCACATACAGGTCCCTACTCCCTTATTTATAATTCCAAAATTCAGAAGTTCTAAAAAGTAAAAGGTTGGGCTTGTTTATTTTGTTTTTGTTCAAAGCTCATCTGAAGGCAAATTCTGACCTGAACTGTTATGGGCTATTTTTTTATCTTTATTTATCCAACTTAGAGTGAATCTTCATATATTTTACCATAGAAATAATGTTTGATAATGTACCTACTGCTACACACTCTGCTGGGAATATTATGAAATTTGCAGAATATGTACTTGTTGCTTTTCTAAAACCCAAAATATTCTGAATTCTGAAACACATCTGCCCCCAAATGTTTCAGATATAAGGAACCCATATCTAGATCTTGGTCTGAACGGGAAGAATGAGTGTGGAAAAGCTTTCCCCATCTCTAGACTAGCTAGTGGTGAGAAGCAGAAAGAGCAGACCCTAGGTCTTCTCCAGTTACCAGGTGTAGTAACTATTTTAAAAATGCAACACTGTATTTTTCTTGATTTCTCTTTCAAAACTTGGAGAGGGAATTCCTATTAATAAATACAGTATAATATTTTAGACTACTTATTTGTGTTTTGATATATTTGCATATAAATAATTCAATTTCAAAATAATTTTTATACACCTAAGATACAAGCATATGTGAATTATATGTTTTATCAAAAGGCTATTATTAGTAATAATCACAATTGCTTTTTACCAAGCATATCGTAATTGACAATTACTGCTCTAGTTAAAAAAATAGCTGATAGATTTTTAAGGACTTTTAACTTGTCTTGAAGAAGCAAAAGAATAACTGAAACAACTCTGACATTTTTATTCAATCTTGATTCAATTATTTATTCTTTCTGGAAATAATAGAGAATTTTAATAAATGGGATTACTTGATTTAAGTTTTTTATATTCTATCTCATGGAGCTAAAGAAATACATTAAATAAAGCTCATTAAGGTTTAGATCTGGGAGAGCAGAAATGAACAGATAGTAATTTTTTTTTTTTTTGATAAATACAATTATGGGGACTGCTAGACCTAGAAATTGAGGCTATCCTGGGAAATCTAGTCATGGAAGATCACTCTGTAAGCAACAAACCAATTTTTTTCTTAAACAAAATTATTTTGGATTATAAAAGTAACACATGCTCAATTCACAAGATTTGGCAGATATAGAAAAAGCTGGAGAAGAAAATAAGACTCATTCATAATCCTTCCACACCTCCACCTGCAGAAAATCACTGTTAACATTTCAGTCCATAGAAATATTCATTATACTGGGTCTTAGGCCATGGCAACACCTATCCAACCCTACATGAAACAATTTGTAAGAGTTCTAACTACTTGAGATTGAAATGCGCTCACCTCCACAACACATTCATAAACTGTGTCATCCAACAAAGAAACCTTGCAATGCATGTTTCTGTGTCTTCTGATCGATTTCTGGGAAGCTTTTAATTCTCTTTCTGCTACTGATTCAGGACTTTCTTCTTCTACTTCTATTTTAGAGCAGTCTTCAAGTCCTCCTCCTTCCTCAGTCTGAAAATCGGGATCTTCTCTGTGTTCTTCCTGAGCAGGCTACATACCCATGACATCACCAAGTCAGTAACAAAGACATTTCACAAAACATGCCATATACACGTTTGCCTATAATATTGATACCAATAAAACCACCAACTGAAGAAGAAAAACTGTTAAAACAAATACAAGTGATATTAAGATTATTTTTCTTAAAGATATTATGATCTCCCAAAAGATCCACAGACTCTGCTATTCTCAAAACTTTATGATAGAAGGTAAAATCCCATCTTTCAAATCAATAAATGAAGGTTTCAGGTAAACCAGAGGACAGCAATCTGTTGCTCTCAGCACTATATATTAAAACCTATTAAAACTTAAACATTTTTGCCCCATGCTCCTCAATTTTAGCGAGGTAGCCTTATGAATTGCAAAACGAGTTGTGATTTGTCATGTAGTCTAAATTTTATGAATGGGGAATTCCCTGGTGGTCCGGTGGTTAAGACTCCACGCTCTCACTGCCAAGGGCCCAGGTTCAGTCCCTGGTCAGGGAACTAAGATCCCACAGGCCTCAAGGCGCGGCCCAAAAACAAAAAAACAAACAAACAAAAAACACCCATAAATTTTTTTGAATGGCTAAAAGGGGTTCTTGGGACCATTTCAGAGCATAAGGCAACATATGTATAATAGGCTAACAACTGTAAATACCAATTAACTCATTTTTACCAGGTATCAACCATGATAAATGCAAAGAAGATTCAAAGAAGCAAGAGACAGACTGAAATCTGGATCTCCTAGGGCAATCATTAAGTCATCCCAAAGTAATACAGGTGAGACAACATTTTGGCATACACTTACTTTCGTCACAATAAAATTGCTGAAAGGTTCTTAACTAAACCTCACTAATTCTTTTCTTTCAAAAAATACGTAGTTGGGGCTTCCCTGGTGGCGCAGTGGTTGAGAGTCCGCCTGCCAATGCAGGGGTCACGGGTTCATGTCCCGGTCCGGGAGGATCCCACATGCCGCAGAGCGGCTGGGCCCGTGAGCCATGGCCGCTGCGCCTGCGCGTCCCGGAGCCTG